TTTGTACTACATTGACTCGCTTTTCTATAACCGAACTGAGAGAAAAACATCAAAATAATGAACGAATCATGGTCGAGCATTGCATGTCATCGCATTTGGACCTATTAAATCATTAATCTCAATATCCTACAGACACATGAGCATAAAAACTGGCATGTATTTTTTTATATGGCGCGTGAAAATGATTTATTTCAAAATAATTGCCCCAAAAGAATTGTTTCGTCTCATGAATTTTTTCATCTGTTCGTTCTGCATCATAAAAAAAAAAACGAAATCAATGAAATGAGACAAAAGGGTGGGGGGACGTGAGCAACATGGCCATATATATAATTCAACCCCATCATCACAAAACGCAGGTTTGTTGTGTTATAAAAATGTCGAGTGAGTTTGAATTGAAATACACGAACTGGACAGAAAATCAAAGCTAACAATGTAACATGGAGGGAAAATCTATTTTGATTGCGGTTAGATTTGTTGTTTACTAATGTCCTTTGCTCTTGAATGAGATATAAAAAGCTTTGGGGAGAAAGTAAGTAACGACACAAAAAATCATCGAGATTGTAAGAGAGAGGGGAGAAGAATAATCGTCCCATCAACATGGTAACTAACAAATTCGCATATACACGCATCAGACAATCATACAGATTTTTCGTTTCATACATTTTCTATTACCGCGTCTACGGTTTTTTTTTGTTTATTTGTTGTCCTCTTCATCCGTGTGTTTCGTCAACTATTTGAATAATCCGATTGTTTGCTCTGGTGCTTGGTATTTATGTTGATGTTTTTTGTATGCCATAAGCCCTGTTTGTGACAAACCAAATGTAAAATATCTCTGACAAACCATGGTTTCACACATAAGGTATATGGAAATGACATTAGCCAAACAACAAATCAGAAAGTGAGAGATAAAAAAATAAAACACGAGCAAAAAATGTGAGTGTGTGTTTGGTATTGAAATATGCACAACATCATCAGTGCGTTTTGTGTGTCGGTTCTCTGTTCAAAGTCAAAAGTTTACAATAAAAGCATTCAGCAAGTGAATAATGCCAACGAGATCTAACAACGAAAAACTGAATTTTCATGTTTCCAAAACCATAAGAGGTGTGTGAGAGAGAGAGAGAGAGAGAGAGAAAGTATGAGAGAGTACTCAAACATCGCCATTTGGCAAAGTGACGATGAAAAATATCTGAAACACATAAAATGATTGCCAGAATGATAAGGCGAGAATAAACGCCGTTTCTTGCTTCCCATTCAAGTTTTTTTGAAATAATAATATCGTGGAAAAGCACTCGGCACGCACATGAATCATCAAGGTATAGTGTTTACGCATACAATACGACAAAAAAAGAACAGGACGAATCAAGAGAAAGAGAGAGGCAAATCAAATCTCAACAATGAGTGAAAAGCCGACGGCAAAATACACACAATAATAACTTGACATGTCTAAACAAAAGGAAACATTGAAAAACGAACGCACGTAAAAAAAATTGTGTTGGAAAAAGGAAACGAACGACACGACAAAGAAAAACACAAGCAATGATGATGTTGTATGAAGATCCATGACGATACAGAATGCGGCTTGAATGCGTGTAATTAAAATGTAATTAAAGCAGCAAAAAAAATGAAGAAGAGAAAAAACCGTAATCTCATATATGTATATTAGTTGTAGTACGATGTGCAATTTTGCGCTCTAATCGCAGCACTTTCATTTCATCATAATCATCTAAAGCATGTTCGTTCGTCGATTGTGTTGAACACTTTTATCTGCATTTTCATAGAATTTACGGTATTCCACTCACTTATCTAAAAACGATGAAGAATCAAGAAAAGAAACTTAAACTAAAGACAGCAATCGCGATGAGAGAAACTCATTCTTGTTGCGACTATATAACGGATTTCGTGTTCTATTGTGTGCAAATATAGTCATTAGTCATTGTGTATACGTTTCCCTGCTCACATTTTCTGCATATCTTGGCGGAGAATGAGTAAACGAGCAAGAGAATAAATGTATTTGCTACCATACCTGATACGCTCACACACACACATTCACTAAAAAAAAGGTGTATCAAGCCACAATTTTGTGCAAACTTTCATCGAACAACTTGATTAGCCCGGGTTTTTCACTGCAGGGTGTTAAATTCCAGTTATGAGATTTTGATAAAATCTATGCTTTTCTCTTTCGTCATCTTCAACAACAACAAATCTCAAAACTCAAGTTCTCGGCTTGTTACTTTTTGAACCCTTACATTCTGTTCGAAATGAGTCAAAATGCAGTTCACCACTTTCCACTACTATACATTTTCTAGCAAACTAGTTGAATGGCTTTCGTTGCATTTTAGTTTTGAATTTTAGGCTGTCAGTGGTTTTGGAATGTCTACGTTCTTTGTTTATGATTGCTGAAACAACAAAACGGCGAAAATTACATATGCCGAATGGGACACAAATTTCAAAACATCTCACATCAACATATTTTTGCATAAACCAAATGGATATTACAATCACATAATCATCATCATCTACATCGCCGTCGTCGTCGTAAACACAAAGTACATATGGAATGTGACTTCTTGTGATATTTTAATTAAAATAAATAAATATGCAGAAATTGCGATGTCTTTTCTCTCGATCCTTCTATGTGCCATCTGATTGCCATTGTATTTGGTTCAGTGTGCCTTGAGAGAGACCTGAAACCTCTATGGAAAATCTATCTCTATTTCTCTCGTTCGCTTGCTCTTGTAACACATTGAGGTTCATTATAAATTGTCCTAAAGCCATTTGCTGTTAGCTACGAGAAGTTGCAAAATGCTCTCTCACACATACATGATCCAATGCCTTGTGCTTATCATAAAATGTTTATAACTCTGTTCGCTGCGAACCCACGCCCTAAGTACGGACAACTCTAAAGTGATAGAAATTGTCGACAATATATGCAAAAGAGAAAACAGATTGCTTGCAATTATCACCACAAATAATATATTCAATGATCTATTCTCATTCTATCTCTCTAAACATCCCCGTCCCTCTCAATATCTGTGTGCATATTCACAGAGAAACCAAACAAGTAATTACATTTTCAAATAGTTTTTTGATGTGAATATAAACGCGTTGAATGCTATCTCATCCACAGAGGTATTAATCGCATCAAGAGAGAACAACCGCCAGGCAATGAAAAATGAATGAAAAGAAAGTGTGATTAAAAAACACACACACAAAATGCTGACAGTGTTTGAAATGAAGCCAACCAACGGAAGCTAAGATAAGCACTAATTGAGGGAACGAGAGACCCGAGCGAATGGGAGAGAGAGAATCATATTTAATTAACACCGTCATGTTTTATTTCACAAATCTCTTGTTTTACTAAAGAGTAATAAATATACAGAAACAACACATATATGCAGAAAAATAATAATAACTGCACCGAAAGCTCTCAACCTGTTTTTTTGCTACAAATACAGCGATGGGGCGAAAGAAGAAGAAAGAATGAGAGTGTTGGGTTCAATTTCTTTCATTAAAATTTCATGCACATAAATAATCACGGGGTAGAAATAGAAAATCCATGGATTTTATGATTTGGATATTCTATCCGTATTTTTTCTCGTCTACTTTCACCCAGTATATGTGAATGTAATTTTTTTCCAATGGTTTTTTCACTCTTTTCTGTTCGGTCGTTTTAATGCATCCGTCGGTTTGATACCGTTCAGGGGATTAAAAATTCTGCTTGGGAATGGATTTTTGACTGATAAAATAGTTTGCCAAAACTAGAAAAAAAAACATTGCTCAAGTTCTATTTTCGGATACATAACGATGAAATCAATAAATGACGATTCAAAAGAAAATGAGCATTCGTAACAGTTGTGTGATCGCAGGGAATTATACAAACATTTGGTGAAGAAATGAATGTATGAGTGAATAAGAGAAAGTGAAGTGGAAATCCGTTCACTGCAATTCATATCATTTTAGTTGACGTTGAGATGACTATATAAAATTCCATATTATGTCGAGAAAAGTATATGCACAAAGTTTTGCTATTCATTAAATATGGACGAATTTTTTTTTTCGTTGTTGTTGCTTCTCTTTCTTTCTTTGCAGTTTCGAGTGTGAGACGAACCGAGAGGGAAACATTGGAATAGCGACTGAGTTGAAATTTATTCGATTCAAAAATGTGGATTTTCTGTGAAGGCATGCTCATGAATCAAAATCTGAAGACTTAAAAATAGCTCAACGATAAACTGAAAGCGAAGCGAGAAAGAACGGCGCAGGAGTAAGAGTATTCTACATGATGGTTATTTTTTCTCTTTCTTTCTATCATCCAACACAGCAACAATTGACGAAACAAATTCATTCCTAAAAATGGATTCGAATAAAAATAAATGAATGGAAAGTGGAAGGAAAAATGAGAACAAATGACACACATTTTGTTGATTGAATGGAGAGAGCTTAAACGAATTGTCGACGACGAAAAAAAAAACGACGAGGACGACGACTAAATAAGTGAATAAGTCGAAAAGTAACTGAAAATCTAAGCAATGCAACTTTCAACTGAGTAAGACGACACATTAACAGCGTACACACTTCAAGTTAAAGTGAGAATATTGTACAGTTTTCGGCGAAGGAAAAGTAAACGAAATATTTTACACAGGCGACCGAGAGGCTATACATACGCTAAATTGTAACGAACGAAGATTTTCATTTGCATTGTGTAAAAACTCGGCAACTTCGTCATGTTCTACTAAACAAATGTTTTCCTATTCAATGTCGTAAAACCACTTGAAAAAAAGCACATCGCCAACGCGCTGCTTCGTTGGCTCGATTCTTTTCAGAGAACGAAGAGAACCAAAGAGCTATATAGAGCTGCAACAAGAACCAAACCATTTTCACAGCCGAGAAACAATCTAGTTAACATTAGTGGAAGAAAAGTGCAAAGTGCAAAGTAAACAGTTTGAACACACTCACACGCATACACTCTTTAAGCAACAATAGAAATATACGGCAAATAAATGATGGATTTGCCAAATGTTTCACACAATCATGGAAGAAATGTGTATTGTAACAGGAATCATTTGAAAGTCATTCGAATCGAATGGGCGAAAAAGTTTCAAAATGGCCATGCTAACAAAGCACATGCAATTGCAAATCAATCACATCTACCACCGACATCAACATTCAAATCCAAATCAGCACAAAATCGAATCAGTACCACAATAGCACTTTTACTCTACATTTTGTATACGTTAAGCATTCACTTATTATGGACCAATTGTGTGATATTTACTGAATCTGCACAACAACAGCTCAAATTAAACGTAAACCCAACGTGGAACTTATTGCATCAACATTATCAGCGAACCGAAAGCAATAGAAATCTAAATAGCAATAGTAGTCACAATAATTTGAAATCTAATTTTGCCAATGTATCCAGTCACAGTAATAGTCCTAAGTTAAATGGCATTGCCAACGAAAGTAATAACAGTGATAGCAACAGCACCGTCAGTAGGAACAGCAGCATCGCTATTAGCATTCACAACAATGGCAGCGCCAATCAATTTGATTTTTTAACAAACTTACTCGCATCGTCTGTAAACCGCGAAGTCGCTTTAAGAGCAACATCTGTACCGCCACTACAGCGAATTGATGTCAATCACAGAACAACAGCCAGTGAAGCTGTGTCACCATTTCCGATGCGAACGGAAATTGGAATGAGAATGACAATGCGAGACAAGCATATTCACGTGATCAACCGATTGAAAAGGGAAAGAACAGTAACAAAGCCGTTGTCAATGTTACGGCGCAACCGAGACACGGCATACCAAAATCCAATTATTCGCAAAAATTTCAACAGAAACAAACGAAACGAATTTAGAAAACGCATCAGTGATGAAATTAGATTTAAACGATATCAATTTGAAAGTGAAAATGTGATAAAATCAGCAAAAAATCATGCAATCAAAAGAAATGTTAACATTTTTACATTCGCTAATTTAGGTGATAATTCAAATGTATCAATAATTAATACGACAACGGTTCCATTTTTGTCGACGACAAAATCAAAAACAATTAAGTCATCAACGTTATCGTCGTCATCGTCGCCGTCACCGTCGGTAGCATCAGCATCGCATGAAATGAAAAAATTAATCACAATTCATCCAACAAACTTTGATGGCAAATCGATTTCTGGCATGGAAAAAACTATCACCAATTTAACATCGCCGCCAATAATCAGAAATAGTGTATCGACTGTGTTGGGAGAAAATCAGCTGAATCAAACTGTCAATAATGACAGAAAACTAAACGCAAATGATAGCAACAACAGCAATAGCCCCACAATCAATCGAATGGAAAATATCGGCCGATTTGGTAATGTAACAACAACAACAACGATGACAAAGACAATGGTTACGAGAAATCCGATAACGAGAAACTTTTCATCTGGCTCGACACCGGTTCGATCTCGGGTTAACGACGTTTTCGAAATGGACACAAAACAAAAGTATTCCAACTATAGTCGAAACATTAACAACAATAACAACAACAACAGAAGCACCAGCAATGGCAGACGAAACCAGGACAATCAAGTCACATCATTTGAAGGCGACGAACAAAATAAATGGCATGTACAACATCGAAATGGAAAGCGAATCATATCATTATTGGGATTGTTTGAGCTAAGCACACGAAACGGTTTACGAGTTGAAGGTCTGAGTGAATTAGCTGCTGCTGAACTCGCTGTTCGTCACATCAATAAACGGGAACATCTTTTGCCCGGATACACATTGCAATTGATTACAAACGATACCAAGGTATTTCATTTCTTTTTCGTTCAACCTTTTTTTTGCTTGCTATTTTGGTGAAATTTACAGCGAGTTGGAGAGAGAAAAATAGAAAGACAATATACTGAACGGTTGTATCAACTCACTTTACAGACATGCATATACTATGTGGATATTTGTAAATGTGTATTTGTGCGTGTGTGGGATGTGAGAAAAAAATCGTGCCGTCAACGTTCAAACAATTCAAAATTCCAAAGAAGAAAAAACGTTCGAACTGAGCGAACTCTCAAAGTGAAACCCCTTAAATTCGAGCATTATCGGTGACATTGTCTCTGTAAAAGCCTTTAATGTTGGCATAATTTGGTGAAATTTGAGCCCAAATACTTGAAACCAATATTCGGATTACTCACAAGTAAATCCCTAACACACAAAGTTTTCGTACATACAACATTCAGCAAACGTATTTCCTGTATCGTCGCCGAAAGAGATGTAGATTTATAAAAAAAACGAAAAAAAAAATGAAGTAGAAAAACGAAACGAAGGGAAAAAAATCAAAAGGATTTTTCATTTGATCATTTATGCAAAAAATTTAAATCGATTTCTTTTTTGGTATTTTTTTTTCTTTTTTTATTCGTTTCGTTCATATTTTCTCCCTTTCAAAATCCTCGAATCGACTCATTTAATCCAATTTCTAATACATATCGTACAGTTGTCATATCGCGCACATTTTTGATCTTTCTCCGCTTTTAATCGAATTCGTTTATCTTTGAATTCGAATTGGATTTCAATTTTCTCTCTTCGACACTCTGTAATTTGTTGCATTTAGTTGAGACTTTTATCTTTACTTTATAATTTCCGAAATGAAATAAAAAAAAAGTGTGATCCAGGAGTTGGTGTCGATCGATTTTTCCATGCTGTTTATACGAAGCGATTGTCACGCGTTCAAATGTTGCTTGGATCGGCGTGCTCGGAAGTGACAGAAAGTCTTGCAAAAGTTGTACCCCATTGGAATGTTGTCCAGGTGAGTAAATAGCCCAGAGAGAGAGAGAGAGAGAGAGAGAGAGAGAGAGAGAGAGAGAGAG